AGTGGGAGAACTTGCACAATTGGTGGCTGACTAAATACTTTTTTGCCCCACTGTATACTGTCACTTGAGGGACAGATCAGTTTTGAACATTCAGTCCTAGAAGCTTAGAGACATAACAACATCTTCTTGTATACATGATAATTACTTCCCACGGTGTTGTGCAAAAATAATATTGTTAAATAATTAAACATTCATATTATGATGCAACCTAAGAGTTATAGAAGGAACTGTACAACACAGATTGTAATGGAGAAAATGATGGATACAGATAGCACAAAAACCAGACTGAACAGAAATCACAATTAAAATTTCCAAGGGGTGAATGCAATACCAGTAATTACTTTTATCGTTCTCAAAGACACAACTGAATCACAGAGCAGCTACAATTAGTTTAACAGATACTTTCACTGATATCAGATATCTTCAACTTAAAATGTATTTACCTGATTCAGAATATTTATACTCATCTTCTAATGTTTCAGGAGAAAAAAACCTCCTTAGGATTGTGCGAAGACACCTTTGATCCCAGGCATCTGTAACTCGTCCTCCATATGTAATTTCCCCTGCAACATTATTTGTTTTACAAATGATCTCATCATTCATTATTTTTAATTTAACACATTATTAGCCTTATTTTCTCTGAATAATTGTTGAACTGGTGACTTCTAAAATGTGTTATCATACATCTAAATTTCCCCTAAATATGTGAATCGGAATGTGCAAATGCTAGGCTATCAAGAAAATTATGCATAAAAGTAAATGATTAATATTCAACTGTTGAATATGCAAACTTGGATGTATATCTGCAGGCTGATTAATACTTGTTATGCATAATTAGATAACTTGCTATTTAATAGGAAAAGTGTAAAATATGCATACCTACTGATCTTATAAATCTTTCTGACTAATTTTTTCCTTGTCTGTGGCAAGCTTTGGTTTACAAGTCTGGGTCAAGAAACTACTGGCTAGGATCATTTCATCATTTAAACAGAAAAGTACAGCCAAAATGATAAACATAATGGATAGTGCAAACTTCTGCGGCTTTCAATTTTCATGTCAGATTTTGGAGTTTTGTTTCAAAAAGCTCCTTAGTTGAAACAGTACCCAACCTTTTAGAGCTTTATGGCAACTGTAATATCTTTATAAATATATAAAGTCGTATCTACTTTGCAGTCTCTACTGAACTGCAGTGTTGAGTACATTGCTGGCCCTGCCATATATTAACAGAGCTCCAATAGTGAAGCCTAGAGTGCCAGGAGATTGGGCTCTGTGTAATAAATGTATTGAAGCAGCCAGGAAACAGAAGAAAAACTATCCAGACCAAAACCATATTAAGAGCCTAATGCAGATTTTCACTATGTGTATTTGTGTTCTGCCCACAGACCAAGGCAAACATAATTTCTTTAAATAATAATAACAACAATAATCCCCCAGTGAGGCACTACCTGGATGGGGTTGTGGGGCTTGCATGCTCTTGGACAGGTCTCATCAGAGGAGTCAGACGAAGAGTGTCTCTCCCATAAACAATATGGTGAGATGTAATTTACAGAAACCTATACCAGATCTGTCATCACCCAGGTCAACAAGAACTGCGCTACGCGTTCTAGTTCCTGGACATCTGGTGACAAGGGGGCTATAGGACCGTTGACTGAGCAACCAGAGCCAGCAGCTGCATAACTATTAGAAGAAAAGTTGTTTACCCGTCGCAAATATACAAAGACTGAAAACAAAGAAATAACGATCTGCTATTACAAATCAAGTCCAACTGGTGGGCATGGAATGTTGCAAGTGCACCAGACAGTTGGAGAAATAAAAAGGCCATTACAAGAATATCTGAAGGACAGTGAAGAAGATGCAATAAAGCTAGTACATCATGAAGGCTTACTGAATACCGAAGAGACCAAACTGGCCTACAAAAAAGACCAAATGGAGAATGGCAGGACAAAATAGCAACAATGCTGCATTGGAATATCTGCAAGAAATACCTTTTGCCTGCAAGCAAGAACTGGTGGGATCAGAAAACGGACAAAATAATAGAACATGAAGAAGCTAAAGTGCTCTGGGACTTTAGAATTCAGACAGACAAGCACCTGCCACACAACACCCCAGACTTAACAGTTTGCCTGCAAGCAAGAACTGGTGGGATCAGAAAACGGACAAAATAATAGAACATGAAGAAGCTAAAGTGCTCTGGGACTTTAGAATTCAGACAGACAAGCACCTGCCACACAACACCCCAGACTTAACAGTTGTTGATAAGAATGACAAAAAAGTCTGGAGAGTAGACATTGCAACACCTGGAGGCAGCAGAATAGAAGAGAAAGAAAATCACAAAATACAAAGACCTGCAAATAGAAGTAGAATGAATGTGGCAAAAGAAAGCAAAGGTAGTACCAATAGTTATAGGCACCTTGGGTACAGTCCCAAAACATCTGGAGCACCACTTGGACACCATCAGCATTGACAAAATCACCATCAGTCAATTGCAAAAGGCAGCTTTACTTGGAACAGCTTATATCCTGACACAATACCTTTAATGCCATCAAACAACATCTGCCTATCCCAGGTCATTGGGAAGCAATTGATAGGTGGATAAAAATGCTAAATGCAGTCTAAACATCTGGCTGACTATGTGACCAACAATAATTTATTGATTAGCCATCAGGCCATATCAGAATACAAAATATAAAATACAGAACAAGAAAAGTCCATGTGTTACAAAACAGAGTAAAAGGCATAACTAAAAGAAATGCAAATCATATTTCTGTGTCACCCCTATAATTTATCCCAGTCAGATCCAGATATGCTGAGTTATCTGTTTTGTTCAGATAAAGGGCTGTATGATATGCATTTGTTTATATATGCTTGGAGTGGAGCAAAAAACAGGCCTTTTCAGACACTTAGCCTCCTCACATCACTTAAAACAGACGCATGTAGATACTTGTATTACATGGCAACAGGGGTTGGCCGACTTATGCTTTAAAAGGGGTTTCTTTTTGTTTTTTAAGCACTAGGTACATGTCTGTTAGGTATATTCAGTGCATGGGGGGGAGGGAGGATCTGTCTCTATTAAATCAGGGCTGGCAAATACAGTAGCAGTAGAGAAGAGATTTGCCTTTGGCAGGCCAGCAGGCCATAATTGTTGAAGGAAGATTAAACATTTAAGAGTTATTTCCCCTTCCATCTTCTCTGACAGCTTTCAGGCCTGTAATGTTGTGAGCAAAACAAAAAATAAAACAATAAAATGCAGAAGGAGGCAAAGTGAGCAGGATAAGGGCCCAGATTTTTTTAAAGTCAGGTACTTAGTGTCTGAGCTGGCCAGAGGAGTAAGTCAGCAGGGAGATGTGTGGTGCAATCCTAAAGAACATCTCCCCTAGCAGAATATCTATGAGAGAACTAGCTCATACCGAATGCACGTATGGCAGGATAAGGGCAAGGGAAACGCTGATGATTTTGTTACTGTGGTCATCCCAAATACCCTCTTCAGACAACCTAAAAAATTGCCCCGTGATACATGGATGAACTCTGGGAATGGAAGCAACAAGGCAGATGACAGAACACAAAACGGGGAGACTCAACAGTTCCAATAAGATGAAGTATAGAGCCCATCTGAGGGCTGTGAAGATAAATGCAGCCAACAAACAAACAAACAAACAAACAAATGTTTTTTTCCCTTGCACATATTGCATCCTCATCCCAGAGCTGAACAGAGAAACTTTAGGAACCTTCTTGTATGGTGGACTAGATCAATGGAGAAGCTACTGAGAGCTCTGTGTTCCACTACTTGTCCTCTTGATTCCTCCCCAACCTGGCTTGTAATTTTTGGCTAAGAGGTTATTACAGATGCCTTAGTTAATATATATACTTCTCTGAGGATGAAATACTTTTAAAGAGAAGCAATTGTTCAACCTTTTCTTAACATGCTTGCTTTGGATTCTTCAGAGATGGGCAATTATAAGCTTGTGTCTAATTCACAATGGATAAAATGATCAAAAGGATGATACCCTCCTAACTGCAGGCAGTCCTGCAGGAAGCAGATTACCTCAAACATTCAAACCAGCTTCAATACAGACAACAGGGATAAGATTGCTTTAGTTGACTAAGAGGAAATCTCTGCTGTGGATCAAGAGAGAAAGTTTTGCTGATCTCAAAGCAGCTTTTAATACAACTGTCAAGGCATCCTTCTGGATTGCCAAGGTGATTTGGGAATAAGAAATACTACAGGTAGTCCTCAGTTAATGACTGCCCTGTTTAGCGACTGTTCAATGTTATGAAGGTGCTGAAAAACTAACTTTATGACCAGTCCTCGAACTTACAACCATTGCAGCATCCCTGTGGTCATGTGATTGCCATTCAGGTGTTTCACAACCGGTATGCATTTACGACGGTTGCATATCCCATGGTCACATGATTGCCATTTGCAAGCTTCATAGCCAGCTTCTGACAAGCAAAGTCAATGGAGAATTTGGCAGTAAAATCACACGTTGTGATCACATGATGTCTCAATTACCTGTGGATGATTTGCTTAATGACTGCAGCAGAACTGACGTTGTTAAGTCAGGCATAGTCACGTGATGTTTTACTTAACAATCACACTGCTTAGTGGTGGAGTTGCCGGTTCCAGTTGTGGTTGTTAAGTGAGGACTACCTGTAGTCTGCGATGAATCCATTCATAACTTTCTGGTAGATTTTAGATGGTGTCTCAATGCAGAAGATTGAGACAATACAAAAGGATTGCTCAACAGTTTTTCATATCTACATGAAATTATTTGGGGGAGATTATCAAGAGATTTGTAGCTGGGTATTATTAGTATGCTGCTGACACCCAAATTTATTTTGCTGCCTCCAGGTAATGCTGTGCCTCCCCTGAACTATTTCTTGCAGTGCTAATGAAGTGGATAAGAGATAGTAAATTGAAGCCCAATTCAGATAAGATAGAGGTGATAATTGTGGAAGGCATAATTCCAAGGAAATGATAGACCTTTCCATCTAGATCACTTACATTCCTCCAAAAGAGGAGGTATGCAGTCTGGGGCTGTTATAGATCCAGATCTCTCTCTTGTTTCTTAGATAGAGCCATTTCTTGGGAGTGCCTTTTATCAACTTTGGCTGATGTGCCAACTGTGCCTTTTCTTGGAAGAAAATTACTTTAAACGGTACACTGGTAGCCTCCTTGCTTTTTGATTACCCTAGTGTGTTCTGTAAGATGATGCCTTTGAATCTAGCCTAGAAATCTCAATTAATACAGCCAGGCTACACTTGTACTAAAAGACCTTCACTGGCTGCAAATTTATTTCAAAGTGAAAGACAAAGTGCTGGCTTATACTTTAAAAGCCTCTTAGAGAACACCTTCTTCTAAATGGTGAAATAATTGGGGAAGTTTGTCTAAAGTTGCTGCAGCAGACTTTGCTAGTGGAAACCTGGGATCGAGCCTTCTCCGTAGTTGCCCCTGATCTCTAGAAGGCACTCCTTATTGACTTAAAATAATTCGTTGGTATTTAAGAATGCTGTAAAATACATTTAAATTTGATGGTTCTACCCATTTTCATGTTTAATTTTAACTGCTCATTTTAATATTTTAATTGGATTTTTATTATAATTTGGCTTCATGCCTGTAACTGTAGAAGACCCTGCATTTTACTGGTAAAGAATTTTATAATTCTGTATCAAGAATTTACTAGCAAAATGGACAATTTCAGGCTTTCAGTTTTTCAACTGGAAAATTTTAATTTATTACAGAACGGTATGCATATATCACACGCAGAACAAATCTGTGGCTCTATGAGTAACACTAATATTGTGTTCATATGAAATGAAGATACTGCATATATAGAAACAACACTCACCAGATATTTTTTCTATGCAGGAAAGAATTCCACTTGTCCCAGTAATTAAATGGTTGTTATGCATAATTGTGAACTCAGTGGGATAATAACTATATCAGTAATCAGAAACCCTTGGAAATTAGTATATGTATATATTCCATTCTTCAGATAAATTTGTAACTAGACCTATGAGCCAGAGACAATGACTTCTATTTTCTAATCAATGGTCCCTTTTGTGCCATGGCACACTATTTTTAAAACTGACAGAAGTTGGCATAATTCCACAGCCTGATACCACACAGATTTATGGGGACAGTTCAAACAAAATTCCCAGCTGATAGTCATACCGGACTGCTTTGTTTTTACTTTTACTTTTAAGGTGAAAAAGTGCATTGGGTAGCTCCAAGTCCTTGATCTCACATAAATAACTCTCTGGCCCCAATCACTTACAGAAGTTATTTATGGTAGGCAATATGCATGGATAAGTACAGATGTCATAGGATTATTAAATTGATACCTTACCTGTTATATATGTAAGGGCATCCCAGGGTACTTTTCCTTCTTGGCAGTAAAGATTGAGGTTTAATAAGGCACATTCTCTGTCACTGTCATTAAATTCATAACATATGTTCCAACCAAGGGGTCCAAATTTTTTCCTTTCCTTGAGGATTAAGAGATTAGATTTGTTTGGTCAGTGTTCTTTGAACAATGTCATGAAACTATAAGAAATCCATTAACAAAAGCCCTGTAAGATTCATTCAGTTCCTTCACAATTTCTGTAGTTTCCCCCCTGGATTCTATACCATGGGTTCCCATGAATTATTTCACTTAGTGATAATATCAGTTTTTCATTGTGATCATTGTATCGACAGGAGATATGTTTGTCCTAGAAAACTGACAAAAATAGTTCCTCCTTTTCTGAAGAACGTGATGAAAGAGCTATTTCCTATTTAGTCGCTTTTTCTAGCTGTACCTAGTTTTCCCTTGAGATCTCTATTATCCAGAGGAACTTTGGTGACCCAGAGGCTATAAATTGAATGGCAGTGATTAAGAAACTAGGGAGACTTGTGTAATATATCTCTACATGTACTGATTAGAAAACTAATCAAGCCTTTTCCTGACATTCTATTTTTAATGGCTTGAGTAAAAGCAGCAGATGAAAACCTGGCTAGAATGTTCCCTTGGTTCCAGAAATCTTGGGAAAGCATTTTAAAACAATTTTTCACAAAAACAGAAGTAATAGAAAACTGTTAAAGATGGCTACAATTCGATCTTTCCTTATATTTCTTCCACCTTCCTTCTTCCACAAACAACAGGTGTGTATAGGTGTCTGTATACCGCTTGGAGAAAGGAGTATTATATAATGCTCCTCTCTCAGGATGATATTGTATCTGATGCAGTGGGTTTTGATGCACAGAAGCTTAATTGTTTTGGTGTAGAAGATGAATATAGCTGCCTCGCTGGAAACAGTGATACGCAGGGCATCAGAATCAATTTGATTACATCATAAGGAAGAGATGGAGAAGAATAATCCAGTCTGCAAGGTTACTTCCAGATGCAAATTGTGGAATAGTCTATTAAGTATTGGTGTCAAATATATGAGTTTAACTTAGAAAATCAAAGAAGGTAGCATGGCAGCAATGTTTGATCAGGAGTACAGGCAGTCAGAATACAAGTTCAATGTAAGGAGCAAACTCAGCATGCTTAATTTATGCATAAGAAAACTTGAGAAGCAATAGAAAAAGATAAGAAAGACTGTGAAAACCAACACAGAAAAGATCACTCCTAAAATTTCAAAGAGGAAACGATCCAAATGGCTTTCAGAATGAGCTATCACGATTGCCAAAAAAAGTCAGAGGATGAAAGCCTGGGCAACAAGAAAGAAGTATGATGGCTAACACGGATTTTCAGTGTTAAGCAAGTAAGGGAACGAAAAGACATCTCAATCAAGAATGTCAACAACTTGAAGAAAATAACAAGAAAAGAAAAATGAGTTATATTTTTAAAATGAGAGGTAGCACCAGAAAATTTACAGCAAAGGTAGGAATACTCAATCATAGAAGAGGTCTAACAGAGACAAATGAGGTTAAAGGAAGATGGAAAGACTATACTAAAACCCTTTACAAATGGGATTACGGAATGACAGAAGCATTTATATAGAGGGCGTATGTTCAAGGACTGATTCCACTAGAGAATGAGGTACAACAGACAATAGACTAGCTGTCAAATAGAAAAGTACAAGGTGCAGAGCTGAACTATTTAAAGCTGCAGGAGAAGAAACACTTAAAGTTCAGAGCTTTGCATCAACAAATATGGAACAAGAATGTGTGGCTTAGAGATTGGAAATATATACAATAATTAATACAATAATAAGCAAATTACCAAAGCACTCCTCACGTAAGCAGTATTGCTTAAAATCTTACAAAAAACTACAGAGCCAAACATGGACACAGAAATGCAAAATGAACAGGCACATTTCAGAACAAGCAATGAAACTAGTCAGCTAACAAAAAATAATGGGCAGAGATTTTATTAATTGGAGCAATCTTTTGATTGTCTAGCTCCTGCAAGAATACCAAATATACTTCAGGGTAATGGGCAGGCCAGACTTCTGATTACCCTTTTAAGGAATCTTTACAATGAAGAAGAAGCTTCTGTAAGAACTGAATTTGAAGAAGCAATGGTTCAGGAAAGGGAAGAAAGTGAGCCAAGAATGCATATTGTCCCCTATCCGTTTAACTAATACAATAAATATATTCTTTTATAATTTTTTAATATAATTTTTATTAAAAGTTTAAAGAGCAATAATAAGAACCAATACAAACTAAATTAGAATGGAGAAAACAAAAAAGAGAGAATTAACAGAAAAAACTAAGAGTGCAATAAGAAAAGAAAATAGAAAAAAAGAGAAAGATATAAAGAAATATATAGAAGTATAAAGAAGTAGCTTCTGATATTCTTCATAGCAGTTATAAGTACAATTATATGTTAACCTCTCTCTTTAAGGTTGAATCATGACTCTCTTCTTTTTATAATCTATCCTGTCTAATCATCAAAACCATAAATCGCAAATATTTTTTTTTTCATTTTTATGCAAAATTTCCATATGGGGTTTCCAATCACCAATAAATGTAGATATTGTCCTTTCTCTAATCAAAGAAGTCAGTTTGTCCATCTTAGCAAGTTCTGTCAATTTCACCAACCATTACAATAAATATATTCAGTGAATGACAGGATTGGAAATGATGCTACTTTACAAAAGTGGACGTCAAACAACTAACAATTATTAGGTGAAAATAAAATGAAAAACAGACTTTGAAAAGTTCATTATGAAATTGAAAATGTAAAGTGAAAAATCTGTGTTAAATATTAGGAAGTTAAAGGTAATTTCAACAACTTGAACTTATAGTTCATAGCAAAGAAAAGAAGGTGACAGATAGTTTGATGTTCTTGGGCACAAAAGCATGTAAGATTATGTGCCTGAAAAGTGAAGAGGAGATTAATCTAGGGAGAAATGAAATGACAAACTAGAAGACAAACTAAATTTCTTTCATAACGCTGTCACAAGGTTAGAATAGTTAAAGCAATGGTTTTTCTGTGGCAACATATGGAAATGAAAGCTGGATGCTGAAAATCAGTCGTGGACAAATAAAGGCTGGTTACTCTCTTGATCAGGAAGGAGAAACTCAAATACTTTGGGCATATTACACGAGCAAACAGTGGACTATATAAACTAATATGCTTGGCAAGACTGAGGGAAGCAGAATGGGAAAACAACATGTAAGATAGGGAGATAAAATCAAAGAAATTACTGGAATGTCCTTGGGAGAGTTATACATTATCACCAGAGACAGGTCAAGATGGTAGGCAATTGTCCACATGATCATGAAGGGTCAGGTCCAACTTAATGGCACCTAATTTGCTAACTTTTTTCTTCTCTGCAACAACTCTTGAGACTAAAAGAGAATTACCGATCCAAAGTCACAAAATGGTCGAACAGAGGACTTAAATCCGGATCTCCCCAGGTTAAGTCCAACAGGTCCCCAGTTTAAGAAGTTTCATTCCCAAGGTCCAATTTGTACGTGAGCTGGAACAGTATTATTATACAATACTGTATAAGTAGTATTGTGTAATGAACTTGAACCATTGTGTATTTAACTCAAATCATTGTGTATTTAACTCAAATTTTACTACAATAGACTGTTTTTAACTATGGGTTGTCCATCAACCAGGCGTTCTTAATCTGGGTACTACCTGTCCACTTTTATTCAACACTGGCTCATTTCCTAGCACATGGATTATACCCAAACTGAGATCAGAAATTATACACTTTCTTTCTCCTCTAATCTTCGGGAGAAGAGAAAGGATTCTACTTCAAGAATTAGGGATGTCTGTTTTCAAATTATAATCAGTGGTAAAAATCAAAGAAACTGAGGCATACCTGAATTCCACTGAAATGAGTTTGTGATTTAATGTCTTCAGAATTCAAAATGTGCCCCTTCATAAATATGGGCAGTAACTCATTACAGATAAAGCTTCTGACTAGACCTGGATTTTTTCCCCCTAAAATCTATAAATTTCTACAACATTTCATTGCACAATATTAACAATCAGCAGATATTATAATTATTATATTTTTCTATGGGAAACTTGGATTCTGCTTTTGGTGTTTTCTAATATTCTTCATGCTTAGTTTTCTCATAATAGGATGTGAAGCAAAAAGGAATGGAGAAGAAATTTTAGATGTATTATGTATTTTATGTATATTTATGGTTTTAATGTTTTTGTGAGTCGCCCAGAGTCCCCCATTGGGGGGAGATGGGAGGGAGAGAAATTTGATAAAATAAAAAAATAAAAATAAAATTCCAACTGAGATGAAGGAATTGTTACATAAGCATTTACATAGTATATTTCCTTTCTTTTCCCAGCAATAAATTGGATTGGACTAAATTAAATTAAAATGTTTCTGAATGCAGCAACAGGAATGCAGATCTTCCACTCCAACAGATACTTGATGTCTTTAATTTGGTATAACTGGAAACATTTTTAGATAGAATAAGATTTGTACATTATAAGAAATTTTATATTATGATAAGCTTATGTAGTAGAGAAGATGGCATTAGTCAAGGCAAGCAAATTGCCCTTGCCTCAAAGCCACTTTCCCAAAGAAGATAAACTGTCAGCACAACCACAGAAACATTCAGACATAAAGAATGATTATTAAAACCCTAGGAGATAGAAAAAACGCTGGGAAGCAAAGGCCGCTTAGAGATAACACTTGCCAAAGTAACACATCATCAGTAACTCATGTTCAAAGAATACAACCCTTGTCTAACTTAATAGACTATTGTCTTTACAGCGCCACCCTCACTGGCCTCACTAAACACATGATGTGCTACTATATCCAATCAAATATACTTAGCCATCCCAGGTATATTCCAATTTACGTAAGTCTATATAGAGGGACTGCTTCTCCGTGCCTTTTAGGCTTTTGCTTCAGCGCCTTTGGTACCGTAAAAAAACAATTTGTGCTTCAATGAAAGAGCATACTTGATCCTACTTAGTAAAGAAGTCTTTGGAAAAAATATCCATATCAGAAGCTAACATTAAGACTAAGTGTGGCCAATGTTTTTGCTGTTAAGGGCTATATTACCTTAAATTGAGGGAGTGGGACTTGAGAGTAAAGCAAGTAGCCAATGAAACCAGAGCCAAAGTGGATGTGGATACCCATTCTCTCTCTGACGTATTTTTAAAAATCTTTTTTGATACTATTTTCTCTCTTTTCCAAGCAGCACGCTGTAGGGGAGGTGCAGTCTGTTTTCACCGGTGATATGAACTGATCCTCTGCAGACGGCTTTTCAAATTATGATGAAGGTTGCATGCAAGACATAGGCTACAGTTTAGAGAAATGTTACAAGAAGTTCTATGAATTTTGCAGAAAGATGAGAAGAGTGGGATAAATGTTTGAAGTAGCCTTCGTAGACATTGCTGTTCTGAGCTAATATATATGTGTTAATTACTTGCGTGACCCTTTTCTCAGAATGGACGGATGTACCAGAAATGAACCGGTCTGGCTATTCTGAGGGTGATGTGTCTGTTTATGGGGTTTAATTGTCTAGGACTGGAGGGGTTAAGACTGTGTCCAGAACACCACAAATAACTTACAGTCCTGGAAGATTTGCTTCCAGAAACAGACAACTCACTTCCAGACTGACTGGATCAATATTGAGAGAGAAAAAAGCAACGTTCTGAAGAAAGCTCCAGGAGCGGAACCCGACAGTTTTGCACATCCTGATAATATGCCTATAAAAACAGCACTGTTTCTTATCAGAATAACGTACACTGATTATCACTAGTTATTATTATTTAATATATTCTTAGAGTAGGAGATACCTGAATAATTGCATGAAAAAAGCAAATGCCAAAAATGATTTTTCTCCAGATTTTGCCCAAGATATTTTCTTCAAAAAACGAGGGTGTCATTTCTGTGAAGGCTCTTCTAATGTTTGCCCGTAGACCTTTAGGGGGTTCATTTGTTACCTGAATGGAAACAGATGTATACGCATGTATCAAATTGGTTTTCAAATATTTTATTTATTTTATATTTCCAATTTGGTCACCGCCCATCTCACTAGGAAGTGACTCTGGGTGGTTTACAGTAAAAAAATATATTTGCTGACAATTTTCAAATAGTATTCTTACACTGCTTCTATAAAGTTATGTATTATGAGATGGCTATGAAGCAGTGGTAATTCACAAACTTTACGCTTCACTGCATTTATTCATTTGTACAGCTACAGGACAAGGCTACGTGGGATTGTCTTTCCAGTTGTGTACTGCCTTGTCAAGTTAATGCATGAATTAGTAGCTATCTGTACACAAATTGCATTTTCTACTCAGAGGAAAACTCAACTTTTAACCAAGTTAATATATGTGATTAGTTATCCCAAGAAGCATATACAAAGGAAAAGTATAGCAGGAAAAAATATATATAAAAATCTTCTTACATAAATGAACAAGAGTGAAAAAGTGACAAATATGGAGGAAGAGTTATTGCAGTTACTGCTCACAAAATAAAGTTGCTCTTTTATAGCTGTAAAATACCATTTAAAAACTTGTTTGACATAAGATTGTTCTGTTGGGTAGAAAGAATTTTAGTTAGAGGTACACTTACTAAAATCAGTGGAAGTGGAAGATTTAATGGAAAGCTGAGATCTTTTCAAGGCAGAGATCTTCCATATTTTTGGAAAGAGCTAAATGATTATTCCCACAGATATTTATTTTGGTCAATGAAGAGGGAAAGAAAGTTCTCCCCTTCTAAGGGAGTAATCTATGATCTAGAACAGGATTATAGAATGCATTCGAAATTTCAGAGGTGCTACTGCTGTATTAAACAAACAGTAAAATAGGAACGATAGTGGGAATTTAACACTTCTGGGAGGTAATGTGCTCACATTTTCACTCTTAAAATTCTCAAACTTTTCCTCATCAGAAGGCCTGCTGATGCCTCCCCAGTCTGTGAGGTGAATGCATTGTGGTTCCCCAGGTCAAAAAAGATCGTCCAACCCTGGCATAGAAGAGTTTGGTCTAGTGGTTAAGGCACCAGGCTAGACTGTGAGTTCTAGTCCTGTCTTGGGCATGAAAAACTGGCTGGGTGACTTTGGGCCAGTCACTTTCTCTCAGACCAACCTACCTCACAGGGCTGTCATTGTAGCGAAAAGAGGAGGAGGAAGGAGTATTAGGTATGTTCGCTGCCTTGAGTTATTTATAAAAATAATAAAGGTGGGATAAAACAAATCTAAACCCCCCCCTACCTTTGTTTCCAATGAATAAGAAATAAATATGTGTATTTTGACTTTGTTTATGAAATAGGCAGAAGAACACATGGACCATATTCATAAGCTTCAAATGACAGGTTGCCAAAGCAGGAATTAAAAGAAATTATCTGTTTTTAATGCTAAATGAGCAAATTGTAAAGAGCAATTCTATTCAACCCACTGCCTGTCTCCCTGCTCCAGCAGGATACCAGGTGCTGGGTACTTACAAGCTTGCTGAGAAGATCCCCATACGGTGCCAGGAAAGCATTCAGATCTCTCAGATGCCATGGGCAGTCACCTTAATTTGTCTACTGCCTTTGCAGAGGGTTGTTGATGATAACAATGTGCAGCTTCACCTGACAGTGATCTGACTATAGCAAAGGACTCACAGCGTTGTGCTCCATTTTTAGATCGTGTGCTATTTGCTCCAATGGAACGATTGTTCAGGTCTCCAGCACTATAAGGAAACTCTGCCACCAGTCCGGCAATGAGATGCAGGACCTCAGGATAGACAGCAGGATGGACAATACACTAATGAAAGCCCTAGCTTGTTCAATGTGGTCTCAAATAAAGATGATGCATTCAGGCACCATCAGAGCAGCACAGCCTCTCACTGCCATGGTGTTCTGCCGGATCATTCCCCACTCTCCTCTGACTTTGCTGTCTAGGCTGCTGGTAGACTTGAGACCCAGAACAGAACTACATCTCCATCACCTCCAGCCAGGTTTTCAGTAATACTGTACATGCCAGGTCTGCTCATCCATACATCACTGTACTGTGTCCAGATGAGGCCTTATTCCAGATAGAGCTGGCATTTACCAATACCAACCCGAGATCAAGGCATCCAGCCTCATACTGCACTGCTGAGAGAGCTCTTGAAGTCAGAGGGTGAAAAGCAGAGCTACATTTTTGGGCCATGAAGACAAAAACTTCATTCATTCCTAGGCTTTACCCTCTGGACAAGTACTAGCGGCATCAGGAGCGGTCTTCTCCATTTTTGGATAATGGCACTTAGGTTTCATAAAGAAAGTTAGGGTGCTTTTATAATATGGAAACAACGTTCTTGATCCTTTACAATGTGTGCAATTTGTGGAATAATCATGCTGTCTAAACAGGGTATGAATTATTCCCATCACAACTTAATCTTTTTTTATCAGAAAAAGTAGCATTTGATGCCCTGCAGCCTTGGATGAGCCCAAACATTTTATTCATGGAAACGTTGTTATGTAAAACATAATAAAACAACTACTGTATGTGCGAAAGCAATCAATTATACAGAAATCCTGGGAATACTTTTAATGGATTTGAGCAGCAAGTCTTTTGTTGACTGGATTTTAACTTGATGGATATTAACCAATTTGAGCATCAGAGTCAGAAACAGCTACCAAGGGAAAGATGGAGAAAGAAAAAAATCTAAAAGGAAAAAGAGAATGCTTCCAGTAGCTGCTTTGGGTCCCCTCCTGATGTATACCTACTTTAAAGTATTGTAGAACATTATCTCTTTTATAAAACTTCCCCAGTTTTCCTCAACTAAAATGAAAATTTAATACAAATTAAATACTGTAATTGCATTTATGTAAGTTCTTCCTCTTAACCACGCCACTTTATGTCCTCTCCACTTCTCATTGTGGCCTTGTTTTCTGTCATCATTTAGGTTATAAATTCCTACAGAATCTCTTTTGGATTTTGATAATGTCATCTTGTTACCCAAAAACAATTTGATGGAGCAAAGCTGACCAATCTACAGATGGAAGTTCTAGCAGCTACGTTGGTTTTTTTGTGCTCCTCATTTCCTAAGAGGAAGCAATTTCAGAAACGGTTAACTGCAGCCGCAGTGAACTCAACTTGTTCTGTATGCTGAAAATAATTTACTTTGAAACTATATTTCTCATTTTACTTATTTTTTTAAAAAAACTACCTTGACAGAATTCTGAAGGACAGTAACAGGGAAAGTAGTACATGGCATGGAACTCAAGTAGAGTCGAAAGTTTTCATGGATAGAGACACCTGAAAAATATAGAATTTTTAATAATATATATGTATAAACCAAACAATGTGTTAGATAAAACAAACATTATGGGACCACCACAATGGCTCCTGATACGGTGTCCCAGAAACCATAGGATGCATTATATTCACTCCCTGGGCTCTGGGTCTACTCCAATTTCAGAGGAGAGAATGTTATAATTTCTGTACAGATGACTCACCAAGTTTCAGGGCTATCTTTTTTTATATTGGGAAAATCTAAGATTTGCAAGAGTCAAAGGAAGGATGTTAGGAGAAGCTTCAATGGCCCATACCTAAATTCCCTCCTTCAGCTAGTATACAAATCCTTTAATAACATTTTTGAGAGAACAAGGAGACACTCAAAGGTCTCTGTCCCCTCATGTTCCCTTTTGGAATGCTGAATTCATCAATATCTGAGCTTTCTAGCTGTGAAGGAAAGATTACTCAATAGGTAATTTCCCAAAACAAAATGCATTTTAAGCTATCATGATCATTGTTTATCATTTAGTGTTCCTCAATTTTCAGTAGATTCTACTAAATAACATTTAAACATGGGAAGCAATTGGAAAACTAATAATTCTAAATTGTTCCTGCTGAATGTGACCAAAGTTTATGTAATCAACATAAACTATATGTATTTCTGAAAGGTGGCAAAGCAACAAAGCATATAATTTTCACCGGCAGTATATGGTGAAACATTTTTATCACAGGCCCACTGAGATATAACTTGGTTTCTTTCAATTAGAATGCAAAGAAATCAAGAGACTGTGTAGCACAGAGGTTAAAGGCCAAACTCAACATGACACAAATCTATTGACATAAAAAGATTGAGAAAAAACAAACTATTGCAGCACAGAAGAATGAGGATTTCCCCCCTCTCCCTCACATTCTTTCCATTTAATTTAAAACTTTCCTACTTATTATTTTTGAATGTTTATTTATTTGTTAGATTTCTATCCCAACTTTCCCACAAAGGCTCAAGGTAGTATCCATATCATCCTTCTTCCAAACATGAAAGTAGATAACTGTCTTATTATGTTTAATTTGTTCAACAGAAACTGAGCTAGAAACCAAAAATTCCATGGTTCAAATCTTGTTTTCTATTCCTAAGAGTCCATAGCCAATCCATTTTTTTTCAGTCACTGTTTAGCAATATTGGAATAATAATCAGGTTCCATTTTACAAAGTAACAGTAATGATAACTGAAATAATGTTTGTGAAACAAGTGATAACATTAAAAATGAGAGGTGTTTAAAACATTCTGTCAGGAATGTTCCAACCTCAAGAACTACAGTAAAGAAGTTAAAGACCCATAGAAATGTTGGTAGTTATTAAATTATAGGATTGAATTAGGATTGAAATATCCAGAATGAGTTATCAACCTTTGATCAACCTTTCTTTGAAATCCTACTATCTACCCCCACTTCCAACATAGTCCTATAGTTTAAATTCTGAATCAGTTCTTATTTCTTTCAGCTGAAGCATTCCTGAGAAAGAAAAGTAAATTAAAAATACTTACTTGGCTCTGTAAATGTTTTTATAAGCTCTTCCATTGCTAACATCCATGAAACAGCTAAATGGCAATTCTGAAGAAATATCCAATTTCCTGTTTTCAGTGCATCCTTAATCATTTTTTCAGCAATAGGTCCTTGACCTTGTCCTAATGAAATTGATTGCACTCTGAAAATCAATGTATTTTGTTAGTATTCATATTATATGTATTTTAAATATATATAATTATTTATATATTCCAGATTCTTAATGATTAGCAATATCAATTATTAACGTCTCTACATAAAAGTAGTTCAACTGAGCAACCATTTATCCACTGAAATCAAAACTGGATGTTTGTTTGCTACATTATTATGAATTTGGACTATGCAACTTCTGAAAAGCAGTTTTATTATTTTACACTAAATACATTCCACACTCAAAGCTCACATTACCTGCCCTCTTTATTCATTTATTTGTTCTGTTGTATTTATTTAAAAAATTTGTATACTGCTTCTCATTAAAAAAATATGAAGCAATGTTCAATAAAATTCAAACCATTAATGCAGTAAGTTTTTAAAGGATTAATAAGCCTTCTTTATATAAGTTGCCTCAACCAGTAGCAACAGCTATGTATCTTTGAAACGTTACAGTGAAAAATCTTCAGGCTAGAACTTCTCAAATACAGCTGATGGATAGGTATCAGTTGTAGAACTCAGACC